AATGGAATTTTAGAGAAACCAAACCTAATCTCTGTGTTGGTCAGCGAAAACATACTCAATTCCCGAAGGAACATTGGAAACTCGTGAGCACTGGACAACTGTTTCGTCCTAGTATGGGACTCCTCAGCATTGTGTACCCATAGCTCCACCAGAGTGACTACCTTCGAGAGGTGATTCCGGAAGTTCCAATGGGAAATCGTAACCGATACGCCGAATCTGGTGGACGTCAGAACAAACACCCAATGATGACATTGGGTGTTGTTCGCGCTGTATCATGCTGGTCATGAAACCCGAAGGTCCTGGGTTCGACCCTCAGCGGGGTTATGGATGCACACTGTTGAGGATTCCCATGTCAGGAAGAAACAACAGTTCAGTGCTCCCAGGTTCCCATTGTTTCTCTAACTGATGTCAGTTCATGATGAAAATGAACATGAAAATCTTATAAATGACTTCAATGATGAATTCATTTTTCATCCTCTTCCCTTTTTTTTTTCACTCTTTTCACACAAATGTTTATCTGTTTAGACCTTGATTATCTACACACTTCATCGCTTAATACTATGTAACTTATATTTTTCTAAGTTTTGACCTACATTGATTGTTTCATTGTTTTCAGTCTCATGCTGTTCCTAACATTCTTAACATTATTGAGATAACTATCATTGTTATGTATTATATTATTTGTATGCTTCATCTCCTAGTTAGTTACCACAGGTTAAAGAATCCATCATATTTGGTTTAGTGTTTTTATTATCATTTTTGGCTGACTAGTTTCTAGCGGTAATACTTGCTCTTTTCAATACACAACTCCAGTTGTTTCATTCTGACTTCAACTGTTTCTGTAATCTAGCAAGTTGATGGAACACAACTCATTTCATTATTCACTTTCTGGTACATTTCAATCAAGTTTTTTTCTAATATGTTGCTGATAATAATCTTTACCACTCCTTTACTTAACCAAACTGGAAGGTGTTTAAAAGTTTAGATAACTGAATATTTAAAGCATCGACCAATGTAACTGATTTGACATGAAGTAGTTGAACCAGTACTAAACTCAATAGAAAGTGACTAGTCTATAAGAGGTCATCATCTTTCAGTCTTATTGTCACCATTGAACATGTGGAGAATGAAATTCACTAGCTTAGTTTGTGATTTAATACCTCACAGAACACATCATCTCCAAATATACATCAGCTTTCTACTAGTCATTCTTGTGATTATGTATTTCCTTATGAATATATCAGGATTCTTATTTTCGGTTAGTATGTTGTAGAAACTTATCAATTCTTCTTCATTTATGTCTTCCTAATATTTAACCTTTATTCTGTAACATACAGATCATTCTTTCATCGTATTCTTTATCGTCATTATCAATAAGAGTGTACGTAATTTGGACATAGTTTACATCGATCGATCACTATCAGTTCTTTGTTTACACAGAAGCATCATCAGTAACCTGTCAAAAAATATGTTTAAATATGATAACATATCTTCCCTATCTACCTACGTAATTGTTTGCCTGCCTGCCTACCCTCCTTCAATTGGCCAACTTTTTTTCTTATCAATTTTTGGAAATGTATAAGTTTCATACCTATTCTGGTATATGTATATATGTATATAATCCTTATTATTATTTTTCCCTTGGGTTCCTAGTGGAACATAGGGCTTCAGTAGCACGCCTCCATTGGATTCTCTTCTCTCCAGTCCTTCTAACCTGGCTTCATGAATGCCCACAAGCTTTCAATTCTTCCTCACATACACACCATCTCCTATATGTCACCCTCGACTCGGACGCTTTCTAGGTTAAAAAATCCTATTAACCCAATGAGGCAGAATAACTCAGTTTACCAAATCTCTTGTAGTAATTGCGAAATCAAATACACAAGTCAAAGTAGTTGATCAGAGTCAAGTAGAATAACAGAGAATAAAAACTTAACTAAATCAAGATTAGTAGATCCTAATAAGATAAGAAATTTAGAGAAAAGTTCGGCTATAGCTCTGTACCCAATTACACAATAGGGTGGGACAGAGCGATAGTATCATAAACTATCTTAGTTAGGTGCAGGGAGAGATTGATAAGCGAATCATCATTGTCTATCGAATCAATACCAAATACATGTAGTAATACAAATGAGTCTGCCTGTGTCCCAGATATATGAAAAATCTTACTGCCCATATCACAAAGCGGGTGAGAAAATTAGGACTATATAAAGTCTGTCTTGAAGTTGTGGAGTCAGTTACCTGATACGCATATGGACAATAAATTGTATCCGAAACGTTCTTATCCAGCAAATAATACTGTTCCTTGACTGTGTAACATTTCTAACACAGACTAAAAGAGAAAAATCATTGTAATTATTTCTAGATGTTTATAGCAATTAGGGCATTATTATAATTTTTCCCTTGGGTTCCTAGTCGAACATAGGGCTTCAGTAGCACACCTCCATTACACTCTCTTCTCTGAAATCTTTTCAACCTGGCTCCACGACTGCCCACAAGCTTTTATCTCTTCCTCACATCATCTCCTACATGTCACCCTCGCCTCAGACGCACAACTCTTCGTTTCCCATTTGGATTCAACTCGAGGATCTGACCTGGCGTGTGATGTCCCTAGTCGGTCTTCTCAATATATGCCCAATCCATCTCCACTTTCTTCTTCTGCATATCTGTTAGGCGACAGGTTCTTGGTTAGTTCGTTCCCAAACCAGAGTTCTGCCTTGCTTATTCTCATTATTCTTGCCACCTGATCTTCAGTATGGAGTAAGCGTAGGTGGCAGCTGTTAATGAATGTCTGTAGTTTGTTGGAAATGCTTTTCGTAACACGCCAAGTTTCTGAACTATAAAACAGCACTGCCTTGATATTGGTGTTGCAAATCCGGATTTTGTTCACTCTCTGTGCTGAGTGCAGTAGATCTCCACACTGGTTTCGGGCTAATGCAGGAAGACATGTCTTGCTGCCTTAGCGATCCTGGCTGGCTTTGACGTCCTCGTTTGTGCCGCCTGTAGGTTGGAACGATGCTGTCAAGGCAGGTAGGTGAAAGAGACTACTTCCTTTAGATTTCTCCCGTTGATGGCGACTGGTGCTTGTTGTTCATGCTGTTGTTGTTGGTTGGGTATCTTCATCACCTCTCTTTGTCTTCTCTACGTTCACTTGAAGTCCCGTTTTTGCTGCCCTACCTCTTCTGTCAACTTGTTAGTTTTTGCCTGTAGATCTTCCAGTTTTTGCGACATAAGTCATTCGACATAAATCATCATCGGCGGAGAAATCCAAATCTTCTAGTGTCTTTTCATCGGTCAAACAGCGAGCATATACCTCTCATCTCCCTCTTCACGGTTTGCTGCATGATCCAGTCCAGTCGACCACAATCAGGAAGATGATGGGTGATAGTAGGCGGCAACCTTGTCTTACTCATGTCTTCACTTCAAAGACATTTCAATACTTTTATAGATATTTTCAACTGAGCTTTTAGTAGGTGTTATCAAAAGGTGAGTAGTTTTCAATGAATATTCTGATGAAGTATAGCGACTACAAAAAAAAGTCTAAGTATGTCTAATGTACAATTTGAGTATGTTGAAATGTAAGGTGATGATTCAGGACTGGTTTATATTGACTTGAAGTTTAAGGCTGCTGAGTGAAATGATGGAATTTATTGATCGATTATCTACATAACTGAGTAGTTGCATCAGCTCCAATGAACTGGTTAGTCACTGAAACATTCTTCTTAATGGACATGCAGACAGTAACCATGAACATAGAAACTGGCATTACTGTGAATGGTCCAAGTTGCTGTGTTTCACGTGAGTACATCAACAGAGAACCTTACACATAAGTGTGTTGGTTCAAGTTGCCATACTCCACAGTAGTACAAACAGAACAAGTCGATAGAATAAGTGTGAAATCAACGTAGACAAAGTAGTGTGAGAGAATAAACAATCTGAAGACTAAAGCAAACATTCAATCTTTACAAGATACCAAAGAGTGAATACATATACGCCATTGATTCCTTTATTCTCGAGGACTGCAACCATGTAGTGTATATCTCCGGAAACGGCTTAGATCAACAGTTCATGCACTGGTACTGCGTCTTGGTCTGACCAGCCTGAAGCTTCTTACAACCTAATGCAACTTCCTGTAGGCAGTGACTCGACCAGTGCAGTACATGTCCAAGCCATCTCAGTTAACTAAGGTTCATAACCTCATCAATTCACCGACTTGCCTGTATTGCCTAGTACCCTTCGTTTGACATCGAGATTACTCAGTGATTCCTCTACGAAGACATATATGACCAAAACCTTGTAATCGCTTCGTGTCTTCTACTTTCAACTCTTTTACCTCACAATCGTAAATAAGGAGAGAATGGACTGTCGCGTAGTATATCAGGTAGTTTCTAAGTTGGAATTCATTATAGGCCGACATCAGTTGGAGAGACATTGAAAACCTAGAGACACTGGACAGTCGTTTCATCCAACTAGTATGAAACTCTTCAGCAGTGCATACCCCACCCCAACAAGGATGAAAGTCAACAGTTTTAGGTTCCATGGACAGCATATCACCATGGAGCCACTCGGTTGGAATCCAATGATCCACATTTCTTACTCCTGTCAGTTCACGGTATAATGTGACTTACATTCAATTATTAAACTTCCAGTTAGAAATAAGATAGTTATTAAAAGTCATAGGTAAATGGAACAAAGAAAAGAGTTAGTAGGCTGAATAATGAGATTTAACGATGATGATGATGTTGATGTATTCAGTGTTTTGACAAAGCTTTGCATATGTAATACACTCTAGAACAGTTTAGTATTGACTTAATCTCTTCAAATCTGTTGCCAAGTATCAAATTATCTTTGGAAGTGTATTTTAGCCAGATTCAGTTCGATTCCTTATACAGTCCTGAATTGATATATTTATTATTATAAATGATTTTGTTGTAATGAAATAAATTATGCTATTTGAAGAAGAAAAAAAGAAAAAATAATACCCTACAACCTCTTTTAAGGTGCTTACACCAAAATCCATGGTAATCGTAAGTTAATTGCGAATGTACTAAAATCATTATAATCTATCTTTACTAATTACATAATACTTTGTAATACGATTGCATGAATTGTTTGCATGAATACTGACTGCTGTCAACAATAAATAATCACCTTATGACTTGATTTGAGTCACTATGGTTATTCTTTATCCTTCAAAACCACTTTATGTTTAACTCTTCTTCAAGTTTCAAAGCCATTTCTGACAATTTTCTAAATAAATATCTGATATTTACAATAGTATAAGTTTTAAAGTTTCTCCATTACGTCATAAAGGATACAAGATCAAGAAGAGGATCAGGTGTAGCTTCAGACCACTATCTAGTGCAAGGAACCTAACTTCGAAATCAAATTGAAAGCCTCCAAAGAAGTTGATGATAGACGACCACAGTTCAAGTTCAACATCCAGAACATAAACTGAAGCACGACACTACAAAGGACATCTTCACGTCAACCAGCCATCAGAAGAAAATGAGAGACATTAAGCAACATCCCCAAGGAAACCTTCGTGGAAGAACACTGGAACTCTTTGAAGGAGATGTGGGAGGAAACCTGCATAACCGTGTTAGTGAGGAAGAAGAAGAATGGGTATCCACGGATACATGGAAGCCGATAGAGAAGGGAGAGGAAGATGATGAAGCAGAAGATGAACCAGTGTAATGCAGTGCAGGGACGAACAACGAAAGGAGAAACTGAACATAACCTATAAAACACTACACTGGATAAAGAAGTGAAGAGGAGTGCGCGCAAAGACAAAAGACACGTCAACGACACACTTGTAAGTGAAGCAGAACAGGCTGCAGGTAGGAGAGACAGAGACCTGACAACACTGTATCAAATAATCAGGTTACTTTCTGCAAAAAGATCAACACAGCAAAGATGAAATCAATCAAAGATAGTGAGGGAAACCTAGTTAGCGAAGAGGAGAAGCAAAGGAAACAATGGGCTGACCACTTCAAAAACTCTTGAATCGACCGCCACCAGCAACGGCAGAACTACAACTGAATACAGGTCCTCCGACAAAAGCAGAAGTCCTGAATGCCATAAAACTACCGAAAGTCGGGAAAGCAGCAGGACCAGATGGAATTCCCTTGGGAGCACTGAAAACACGTAGATACAAAAGCGCATATGCTCACACCACGCCACTATTGCAGAAGGTTTGGAAGGAAGGAAAGAAAGGTACGTTCCTATTGGAAGAAGAGTTATCTTGCCAAACTCCCAAAGAAAGGCGACCTAAGCCTTTGCAAGAACTGGCGTGGAATCATGCTCGGCGCCTGTCAATCTCAAGCAAAATATTACGCCACATCATCCTCTAGAGACTAAAAGATGCTCTGGATTCAAAATTACAACCGGAACAGGCTGGTTGGCTTCAGGAAGTACAAATCATGTGCGGACCAAATTGCAACGCCACTCTACGCATCGTCATAGAACAGAGTATAGATTGGCAGTCAACTCTCTACCTCAACTTCATCGACCTTGAAAAGGCCTTTGATAGCGTCTACCGAGAAATAATTTGGTACTTGCTTCAACACTACAGAACACCACAAACCTTTATCAATCTCATTCAACAACTGAATGAGGATGCCACGTGCCAAGTGATTCACAATGGGAAGCTCAGTGATGCCTTCGAAGTGAAGACAGTAGTAAGACAAGACTGCTTACCATCACCCATGATATTCCTGATTGTGGTGGACAGGGTCATGTAGCAAACAGTGAGGAGAGAGAAGCGGGGCATACACTTAGCGAAGGCAGTCACTTTTTATTCTTCAGTGATCTGATTCTCAAACTTTACAATAGCATATGTAAATATCACATGGCAACAGACTAGGAATATTTCATAAAATATTTAGAAGTAGTATCAGCGGTCTGACATGAGTTGGGGAATCATTGAAAACTTGGATGAGCTGGATAGCTGTTTAGTCCTAGTATGCGATTCCGCAGCATTTCACGCCCACGACCTCGCCACACCAGGAATCGAAATCAAGATCTTCAGGTTTCATGGCGAACGTGTTAAGCACCCAACCATTGGGTCAGAGTTCAATTGTTCACTGTTTCCACCTGCTGTCAATTCATGGTATAGCGCTACTGTCACCCAAGGTCTTCAGTTTGCATCCACTTCCCTTCTGACTGGTTAACCCTACAGGTCACGGCTTCTCATTAAAGCTTCGAGATATTCATCTGGGTGTATGCTATTCACTAATGATCACTGTATAGTCATGTATTTTCAAGTTACTTGGAATCTTAATTTTGAGGCAATATTCATCATGGACTGATATCGATTCTTGCTGGTGATACTTCATTAGAATGCAGAGTTCACATTTCAAGTTATGGAATAGCCATAACTTTCATAGTTTGACAAAATCTCAGGCCTCTACCTTTAATGGGGTTCCCATGAACTCTATGCATAAAACTGTTTTCTTGTTTGATCGGGTAGTCAGAATCAATTAAGCTATAGGATGTTCTCCTACTTTCTCTTTCGTATAACCAAGTTGGAAGATACTTTGAGAAAAGGAACATTGAGTACAGCATGTGAATTGATAAACATACATTAAAGTGATCAAGGTAGGGTATTCCTGAGATATTTGATATTTTATAAGCTCTTATAAAAAAAAAGTACTGATGTTTGATGCATGTTCTGTTGAAGGGATCATTTTGTAGATTTGCATGTTCTAAGATCTTTTTTTTTGTGAGTGAACAGCCAAAACATAATCTTGAAAATCTGTTTAGTTTAGTCATGAATACATTATCTATTTATTACTGTTAATTGATTGATGGCAATCTACAAGAAGCTTTGCTCTTTCAATAAAGCGTATCTGCAACCTCTAAGAAACTGATGTCCTGTCTGAGATTACAACCCGCGTCACCTTCAGTCTTACGAAGTTCACTTCACTTCCAGGACCTGAAATCTTCTCATACGTACTCAACTTATCATTATTATTATTTGTCCCTTGGGTTCCTAGTCGAACATAGCGCTTCAGTAGCACGTCTTCAGTGCACTCTGTTCTTTGCAATCTTTTCAACCTGGCTCCACGGCAGCCCATAAGCTCTTATTTCTTCCTCACATCATCTCCTCCATGTCACCCACAGCTGGGACGCCCAACTCGTCGTTTTCCATCTGGGTTCCACTCGAGGGTCTGGCTTGATGCGTGATGTCCCTGAATGGTGATAATAAATATAGTATTAACAGTTGCAATATTAATATTGGGTTGTGATTGAAGGTGAAATGAAAATTTGGTTAATATTCGGGCTTCGTGGCTCAGTTGATAGAGCAGCAGACCGGAAATCCGATGATCGCTGGTTCAAATCCAGCCTCTACCTAAATTCTGACTTCATTTTCAGTCATCACCCAGTATAAATACTAATTTGTCAAACCACGGCTATCTCAGACACTCAAATCATAATCAATACGATGCTCCCCCTTTCTGATTCACTTACATTTGCATTGGGATGAGAAGTCCTGATTGGTTGGCAGCTAGTATGAGTTCGATCAAGTGATAGCAATGAGTCTGGAACTTACATGATAGTCATTGGGCAAAATCCACCTTAGTGATTGAAGTGAAATAAAAGTCTAATCAGCAGTTGGACCTCGTAGCTTAGTTAGTAGAGCACCGAGTGGGAAATCCAGTGGTCGCTAGTTCGAATCCGAACATGATTCAAATTTTTTTCTTTTCCACCTTCAATCATCTAATCAAAATGATAATATGATAATAACTTACATTATTGAACTGTAAAGTTTTGTAAACTTGAAAGTTAAAATAGTATAAACTGTTTAATCGTACAATATATGGTAATGTTTATCTTTGTTTTTTTTACTTCATTCCCAAAATTCTTTTAAACATTTTATCATACAACGGAATATATGTTGATGTATTTCTCGTGTTTTTATTTTCTTTCTAGACAATACATTAACGATAACGAATGTAACTGTATATGATATAGGAATTTATCAATGTATTGCGCATAGATGGGATCCAGAACCAGATTTAGAGGAATGGGTATCTGCTTCAGCTATTCTAGCAATGAATTCAGATAAAATTATACGTACACGTAAGTGTAATTTCCAATTTTTTTTCTCCTCTATAGAGCACAATGTTTACATAAACTTTCCTATACTGATTTTTGGCTTCCCTTCCAACATATCTCCTATTTATGTTACATTTAATATATATTGTACTTTTGTCCCATGATTTGCGATGCAATTCCACCAACATATGAAGGTCGAGATCCTTCCAAGAGAAATTAGTCGTTCAAAAAAAGCAAGAACAACAGTTGAAGCAGGATATTTTAGTTATGTCATCATCTGTTACGCCAACGGTTATATTTATACCGAATAATAGAATACGCACACTTAGCTGACAGCCAACTTTAATACACAAGAGCTACTGACTACAACCCCAGGACGAATAGAGAGAAGACCGAAGCCGGCAGATGGGAAAGTTTATTACTCCGAGAGTATAATCATAAATCAATCCAAAACACGTGAATAAGTATACATATGAAAAATGACCTTGTCCGCAATTGGAGAAATTTGCATAGTAAAAGTTAACCAATCAGCGAATTACATTACATTTGTGGGGCAGAAATTAAACTATGCTGTGAGAATGCCAAGTTAAAAAATGTTCACATCGATAACAATGTTTTGATACAAAACTGGTGCCTTACAACATCATCATCATTAAGATCAACGTAGGATTGGGCATTACTGCCCAACGGTTCAAATACGTCATATCACCAAATCAAGTAATAAGGGAATAAAATGGAAGGTGAGGAAAATAAAATCGGTCAAAGGAAGCAGAAGTGGTTAATGTGAGGATAATGTGTGTAAGCATCTGCACCACCGACATTGGTCCTGAGCCATATCATCTCTTGTTCCACGAACCCCAACCGACTAGTCTGTAGCGACCCACGTGGCTCAAACCAACACTCAAAGACTTCATGCTTTGACGCCATGTTTCAACCTGGCTGCCTCGAGTCTTTTACCAACCCGAACCTACTTTCCCCAACATTGTGCGACGAGGCAGACGGTGGTTAGGCATACGTAATACCTGTCTCAACCAGCCATCTCAGTCGATGAAGGTTCACAAGCATATCAAGTGTCCTATCTCTTCTTCCACCCTGAAACTCTGCAACTGACTTCTGCGTCCCTCATATAGTGACACCACGAAAAACGGCCTATGTTTCGAAGGTGACGGTGGTCAAAGACCTGAAGTCTTCCTATGTTTTCTCTCGTTACTGGCATTTTTTCACAAGGTACAGTAGAACAGAGAGGAGTCCAGCACAGTACACTCGACCCTTAAAACGACAATGGGATATCATGGTGGCGCCATAGGTGGTGTAAGTTGACGAAGCTCAGCCGTACAGACTTTTCGTCGTCAGTGGAATCTCGCATTGTGATACTCCAGGGACTGAACTCGTGACCTTTAGGTTTCCAGGCGAGCGTGTTATCACTGACCTGAATACTCCTCATTTTCCTACTTCTATCAGTTCATGATATAGCGTAACCTTCATCCATTACCTAATCAATCAATCAATATCAACATAGGAACACGCATTACTGCGTAACGGTCTCACTTGCCACAGCTCAGTACACTACATCAAGTAGAAAAGTAGTGAGGTGAAAGATGAAGATAAGAGATTGCAGTCAAAAGAAATATAAAGTATGAGAAGAAAGAAAGGAAGAATAACAAAATGGTGAGAATCGGTATAGCGTCGTTAGCATGAGGATAATGTGTATGGGGATACATCTGCGTCACTGACATCGGTTCTTACCCATATCACCTAGAGTCAGTCTCCAACCACCACTGGTTCCTCTTGTCCCACCAACCCCAACCACCCAGTCTGCATCCCCTCGCCCCCATCCTACATGGCTCAAACCAACAGTCACAGACTTCATACATTGATGCCATGTTTAAGTCTGTCCACCTCGGGCCTGTTTCCAGCCTGGACCTTCTTCGACCAACATTGTGTGATGAGGCAATTGTTGACTAGGCGTACGTAGTACGTGTCTCAACCAGTTATCTCAATCGATGAAGGTTCATAACCTCGTCAACTGATTTTCATCTACTCCCTAAAACTCTACATCTGACTTCTGCATTACTTACGTGGTGTGGTGACACCACGGAATACGTACGTCCTATAGTTACACTAGGAAGGCAACGGTGGTCAAACACTTTAAGCCTTCTCATGTCTTCCACTTTCAATGGCCATGTTTCACAGTCGTACAGTAGAACAGACTGGACTTCTGTGCAGTACACACCACCCTTAGTAGATAAACGGATATCACGGTAGTGCCATGGGTGGCGTGAATTGGCAAAAGCCGACGAAGCCTTTTGTATATGTGCAGAGATTTCATCAGCCACTGACCGACGACGCATCAGGGCAGGGCTGATCTTACTTCCCAGGCAAGTGAAGTGGTCGATACACTCAACCACTACTTCACTCTGTATTGTTAGCCGTGGCACCGCTGAAGACTAGTCCCGGAGCAAAATTTGCATTTGGGTGTTGAGAACCGCATCCCAAACATTCTCAACTTCCCACTCAAAGTATTCATTAGACTGCATCTTGTCAGTGTCTTCACTTAACAGGACTATGTCATCTGCATATTCTACCTTTGCCGTGTACCTATTCCCAACCTCCGATTGGGTTAGTCCCGCTGGTCATGAGTTGTCATAGGAATTTCAGAAAATCTTATCTCGAGTCAATTGAATAATAGTCTTTGGAAAGTAATTCGATGGAAGAATTTGTCAAAATTTATTGATTTCAAGTTGGTATTCACCACAAAGTGACAGCACTTAGAAAACTATTTGAAACCTGTGATTGAACTGACAGAGATAAGGGAATATGTATCATTGAAATCTGGCCCAGTAACTTTTAATGGTTTTATTCTCACCATGGGTAGAACTTGAAGATTATGGGTTTGGTCTCTGGAAGGTGGGGTACACCACTGAAAAAATCCTATACTCATGGTTGCCTACTGCATGAGAATGTGTACATGGTTGCTGTGAATGAATTTTACTCTGATTTCTATGATAATGACAGTGGTGGTGTTAACCCTTTTAGATTACAATTGGACAAGAGTCTTAGTGATTCTGTGTTATAATAATAATAATAATAATAATAATAATAATAATAATAATAATAATACCTTTATTTCAAACAAGCCTTGTGGTACAGTATGGAATTGTCATCATATACTGGTTCAACCCATTCATTCCCTATACAATACCTTGAGGAGAAATGATCATTGCACTGGAATAATGTTACTAATGACAGCAATAAAAATCCACAATATGAAACAGGCACCTAGTATATTACATGAATTAGCATCTAGTTTCGACTGATCAATGAATAGAGTAGTTTATTCAGTGTGTTGTCAGCATCTGTAATTCGACATAGTTATCCAAGAAATAGTAATATGCTGTATTCCTGTACATCTCTAAGCCTATCTCTTGCCAAAGTATCGTTTATTCTTTGTTTTATTGTTAGCTTGAAAGAAAAAAAACAAACAACAACAACAACAGTTTAAAACCATTCTAAAGTGTTCAAGAGTACTTAACGTGTTTAAAAGAAACGCTGTAAAAGATTAAACCAAATTTGAAGGGATAAATTTAGTGAAAACTTTTCAGTAATACTTATGCCTAGTTAACACACTTTGTTTGTAAACAATCTGAATTCTGGTGATTTGTTTAGTTGAGGCTAGCAAAAGAATTCATGACGCGTGTTTCATTCTATTTAGGACTCATTAGTCAGCTGGATGTACTTGCCACCTTAGTGGGTGATGTTATTCCCATTGAAACTTGAACCCCGTAACATAGTGGAGATAACGCCTTGATGTTTGAAGTGATGGGTATGAGATTCGAGTCTCAGCGGAGACAACATCACTTACTGAGATGTAAGTACATCCAGCTGACTGGTGAGTCCCAAATAGGACGAAATGCGCTTCGTAGATTCTTCTGCTAGACACAATCGAATAAACTAGCATAGTTAACATTCAGGCAATATCGAGGCATCTGCATAGAGAAGCTGATGTACGAATAGAGGTCGAACAATTCGATCCAATAAAACAACGGAGAATTACAGGGATATCAATAAATAATCTGAATTATATTATAAAAGTGTATATTTTAATATAATCCTATGTAAACCAAAACTTCTTCAGCAGAATATATGCAGTCGTTAACCTATATGAAAGGAGAAGAATCATAGAATAGGCAGTCCAGTAAGATACATTCAAAACAATAGAAGAAGATAGAAGGAAGCTACAGCATGATCACCACTGATAATGTCTCAAGTCGCTGAGTTACGTGATCTCTTGGATCGCACTCACGGAGTCGTGATGCACCAACACATGCTAACCTCGATACAACTATCCTTCATCCCATTGCACCACGTCATACTACCCCCGACCACCCTCTACTTCTTCTATCCAGTCTCTGTCCCAGGGCTACCAAACAGTGAACAATATTGAAGTCGCTGGGATGACATGTGTAACACATGTTCAAGCCACTGAAGCCAGGGGTTTCTAGGTTACTTCACTCGTTGAATGACGATCTCCATCATACCCAAACGAGCACAGTCGTACGTCAGAATTACTAACATGGTGTCACCATGAGATACAAGCAATCCTATGGGGATAACGATGATCGAACACACAGAGTCGTCGCACATCCTCAGCTCAGAGACCAGGTTTTACATGTTTACATTTTATTCTAAGCGCCTATTATTTGTATGCTGAATAACTAAATACCAATAAATTGTATCTCTTTGTGGTACAACAATAGAATATGATCACTAAGTGGTTAATGTATTAGTCAACTGAGCAATTTATTTATCTTAAAGGCATATTTTTCGTGTGTAGTCAAATCACATTGACAGACCACTCATGTCAGGTTGTTGCATTACTTTCCCATTCATCCAAAGTATGAATGAATACACAAATCATTTTTCATTGTGGATCCGCTCAAATATACCACAGTTTTCAATAACTGTATATTTGCCGGAATAAGTGAATATAGTGACCAACAAGAAACAAACTTAGAATTTATGTAACCTACGTCTATTGATGTATAATAATGATAGATAGTGGCTAGCAGCGGAATCTAGGATGCACATTTCGTCCTATTTGGGACTCGTCAGCTGGATGTACCTGCCTCCCAGTGAGTGATGTTGTTCCTACCGGGACTCCGACTCGGAAGCGATCGCTTCAAACGTTAGAGCGTTATCCACTACATCATCGAGCGATGACAGCCACTTCTTGTGGAGCGGGTATAGTTTTAGTACAATTCCCTGTTTATACTGTCATTGATTCGACCGAATTGATCGGTCTCTATTGGTATTTGGGATCCTTTGCGGATGCCTTGATATCGCCTGTGTTTTAATTATATATTCTCATTATTTGTCCCTTGGGTTCCTAGTGGAACAGAGCGCTTTAGTAGCACGTCTCTATTCCACTCTGTTCTCAACAGTCTGGTTCCACCTGGCGCCATAACTGCCCACAATCTTTCATTCCTTCCTCACGCCATCTCCTCCATGTCACCCTCTTCTCGGACGCCCAACTCATCGTTTCCCTTTTGGATCCCATTCGAGGGACTAGCCTGGCCTGATGCGTAATATCTCCAGATGGTTTTCGTAGTGTACGCCCAATGCAATCCATCTCCACTTCCTTGATTGGTTCGTTGCCAGAGTTCCTCCTTGCTTATTCTTTCTGGCCATCCATCTGATCTTCAGTATGAAGCGAGTGTTCACCCTTTATGCTGAGCGCAATACAATGCAGTAGATCTCCACACTGTTTTAAGATTGATGAAGGAAGGTCTGTCTTGCTGTCTTTCTGATCGTGGCTGGCTTTGACATCGTCATCTGTGCCTGTATCGCGTGTAGTTGAGAGTATGCTGCGTAAGTTTGGAGGTGACAGAGACAACTTCTTTCAGACTTCTACCGTTGACGGTGGTTGGTGTTCGTTGTTATTGGTTGGGTATCTTCATCACCTCTGTCTTCTCTACGTTCACGTGAAGGAAGTCCTGTCTTCGCTGCCCTGCCTCTTCTGCCTATTTGTTGGTTATCACCTGTACATCTTTGAGTTTGTGTGACATGACATTAGACATGAAGCATCATGTGTGAAATCCAAATGTTCTAGGCTATTTTCATCGATGAAACAGCCAGCGCATGCCCATCTCCCTCCTCACGGTTTACTGCATGGTCCAGTCCAGTCGACCACAATCAAGAAGATCATGGGTGACAGTAAGCATTCTTGTCTTATTCCTGTCATCACTTCAAAGGCATTGTTGGGCTTTCCATTGTGAATCACCTGGCATATGGTGTCTTCATATAGTTGGTGTTGAATGATGTTGATAAAGGTTTGTGGCACCAAAACCTCAATGTTCTAGCAGTTTCCAAATAACTTCTCGGTTGACGTTGTCGAAGGTCTTTTCTAAACCGATGAAGTTGAGGTAGAGAGTTGACTGCCGTTCTATACTCCGTTCTGTGTTGATGATGCATAGCGTAGCGTTTCAATTTGATGGGTACATGATTTGTTCTTCCTGAAGCCAACCATCCTTTTCCGGTCGTGATTTGAATTTAGTGCATTTTTTAGTCTCTCCAGGATGATGCAGCCAAATATTTCTCTTGGGGTGGACAGGTGTGGAGCATGATCCCACGCCAGTTCTTGCAAAGACTTAGATCTCCCTTCTTTGGGAGTTTGACAAGGTTGCCCCCGTTCATCCACTTGGCAGGTAGCTTTAATTGCTTCCTTCCAAACCTTCTGCAGTAGTGGTGTGAGCGTGTCCATTGTTGTCTCTGCGTCTGTATTCAGTGCTTCTGGCGGAATTCCATCTGGTCCTTCTGCTTTCCCGACTTTCAGCAACTTCATAGCGTTCAGGAATTGACTTCTGTTTTTGTTGGATGGCTTGTGTTCACTGGTAGTTCTGTCGCTGGGCTATTTATGGTATTTCTGGACGAGTTGCAGCTGGTGGTGGTCGATTCACGAGTTTTTGAAGTGTTCAGCCCATTGTTTCCTTTGCTTCTCCTCTTCGCTAACTAGTTTTCCTTCACTATCTTTCATTGGTTTCATCTATGCTGTGTTGATCTCTTCCCATATAGTGACGTGGTTATTTGATATAGTGTTGTCAGTTCTTTGTCTCTCCTATCGGCAGCCTGTTCTGCTTCAATACAATTATTTATACGTCTATTGATGTTAATTGAGACATCTCAAATGAAGCATTTAGTTTCTAGTCAGCAGAAAATGTTGTTTCTGCTTGTAATATGAAGAAAAGTATTTCCATTTTCTACTGAAAACCTTCAGCTCTCTACATATATATGTATAGATAAATCTCCTATATGCACTGTTTATAACAGAACCTGACATAAAACTATGTCACTTCATGATGTCATACTTCATAGTAGATTGTAAAGAACCAGTGTGTTGAAGATGTTATATTAAAACCAATGAAAGTGTATGAGAACAGAAAGAATAAATAAATTGATGAAGATTAGTGAAAGTGTTTACAATTTTGAACATATCCATGGTTGAATTCAGCCGTATCATAATAATCGATTTTGAGCCATATCACCAACAAATTTTGACCATTGCTTCCTATTGCCTTGAAAATCTCAGTTCAATAGTTTCCTATACAGCTCAGATCACTCTTAGCCTTCTTCTAACGCGTTTCTATTCCTAATAACTCTTATCTTGAAGTAGACAGTAGTTCAGCATGCACAACACCTATTCTAGCCATAGCATTCGGAGAAGGTCCACAACCTTGTCGACTGTCTTGTTTAGTAATCGACAGCTAACCTTGACATTCTTCACACAGTGATTCTACCATTGATAAGTCATGCTGCGAAAACATCTTGTATTTACTTTCAACATCCATGCCTGACAGCTGCATAAGTGAATAGAGAGGAATGCAGGGGGATATACAAACATTCCTTTAACGGGAAGTCGGATATCTCACTAGTCGGTGATAGAAATAACTCAAGTTGACAAATACTAAACGATCTTTATTGTATTCAAGTCAAGATTTCGTCAGCAACCAGTTTGTTCGAGTCGATATAACATCCTAAGTAAGTGGGGAGTCATAGACATTTGTAAACTTGGAGTAGCTGCACACCAGTCCTGGAACAGAATCTTACAAAACGCCTATTAATCATATTTATTCATATCAATAGTATTATTTTGTTATTAATATGCTATAGTTATGATTATTTGTTTTTTTTTTACCTCTCTTATCCTTAAACTAGCTCAAGAATTATCTGCATTACTACCAGCTCCAAAACATACAACATTGGAAGAAAAACCACCAGGTAATTGAATCAATATCTTGTCACTAAATTCATTTGTTGTATTTACTTACATAAAATGGTTTTTTTCTTCTCCATCTTATTAATATTACTGTTTTCTAGTGACTTTAAATAAAGTAATGTCTGGTCAACTAGTATAATATCGTGTTAGTTACATGCTTAAAGTTTTCATCGGAATGAACCCTTATCATCTACACTTTTAAAAGAAAGAAAAAAAAATCTATATTTGGCTATGATAGGCAAAATCCAGATGCTTGTTCATGACTCAATATCTTGAAGTTTATCCTGTTGATTTTTATCATCTTGAAACGACTTACCTACTCCAGTATTCAACAGTATTTATTAAGTGTAACCAAACTAAAAACATCATAGCTATTTATCAAGTCATCTACTGACAACTTGAACTGTGTATAGAATTATGTTATCTACTTGTCTGTCGTTATGAAAATGTTAGTTAGTTGGAGGATTCCAAGTGATATAGTTTAAAAGCAATTACATGTATATATTTGAATGTACACGGGAGAAACTTAAAGGAAGTGGCCTCTATCACCTATCTACACAGGCAGCATCGTTTCAAATACAGGCGGCACAGACGAGGACGTCAAAGCCAGCCAGGATCGGAAAAGTAAGACAGCCTTACCTTCATCAATCTGAAATCAGTGTGGAGATCTACTGCACTCAATTCAGCATAAAGCGTGAACAACATCCGGATTTTCAACACCAATAAAGTCAAGTCAGTGCTTCTGTGTGATGATTGACAGTCTTCGCACGTCATGAAAGGGATTTCGAACAAACTACAGATATTCATCAACAACTGCCTACCCTGACTCGTTACTGAAGGTCAGATGACGAGAATAATGAGAATAAGGAAGAAGGAACTCTGGCTGGCTAGCTGGTAACGAACGAACGAAGTAAAAAGCTATCACTGAACAATTGTGGACTGGAAGGAAGTGGAGATGGATTGAGCATACACTGAGAATATCATTCGGGGACATCACGTGCCAGGCCACACTAGGCACTCGAGTGGAACCCAGATGGGAAATGGCGAGTTAGCCGTTGGAGGCGAGGGTGACATACAAGAGATCGTATGATGAAGAAACGGTAGCTTCTGGACAGTCATGCAGCTATGTTGAAAAGATTGGAGAGAAGAGAGTGTACTGGACATGTGCTACTGAAGCGCTATGTTCGACTAGGAACCCGAAGGATAAATAATAATTTGATTTAACAAACTGGCTAATCCCTGAATCAAAAAATATATACTGATTGTTCTACACTTTGCATGCAGTCTACAACACTCTATTGGTGTTTATTCCTTTGTCTCTGCATCATTCCTATATCTTTAAGGTTGTATTCATTATGGGCTGACATCAGCAGTACGCACCCACTACCTGGTTAGGGATCGAACTATCATATGAATTCATGACATACTACTATCACTTGATCGGTAATAACAAACCAACTAAATTACCATGGCGATTAAATCATATTAATAATACCAGTATGATAGGCAGTAATACACAACCAGTAGTTTATAGGCATCATTTAGTTTCTATGTTGTTGCAAATGGGTTGGATAACAAAGCACATGTAAGTTGTCCATCCATCCATCCATCCAAATCAACTTAGGACCAGGCATTACTGCGTAACGGTCCGACTTCCCACCACACCTCAGTACATTCAGTTAAAAGACAGTGAGGTACAAGATGAAGATAAGAGAATGCAGTCAAAAGAAATATAAAGTATTAAAAGAGAGAAAGGAAGAATGAGACAGTGATGAGATTCAGTATAGTGTCGTTAAGATGAGGTTAATGTGTGTGGGGATACATTTGCGCCACTGACATCGGTTCTCACCCATATCACCTAGAGTTAGTCTCCAACCACCACTGGTTCCTCTTGTCCCGTGGACCCCAACCGACTAGTCTGAGGGAGGTCTATTCATCCTGTATGAAAATTCGTTTTTCCAGCTACGTGTTCCTTTAATAGCTATGTGATGCATTATTGTGCTTTCTTGCGTAAACTGCTGTCTACTATGATATTTTCTTGTTATAGTCTTGTTGTTAACTCATCTAACGATATAGTGAAGACATTTAAAGAGTTTAGCCTCAAAGTATATTCAATGAAATATCTTTGATAGACTGAAATTGAAGCAACCTGCAAATGATGCCATTAGACGCCACATGCCAAGTAATTCACAATCGGAAGGTTATTGATGCTTTTGAAGTGAAGTGAAGACAGGAAGGAGTAAGGCAAGGCTGTCTACTATCACCCATGATATTCCTGATTGTAGTGGACTGTATCATACAGCAAATAGTGAGGAGCGAGAAGAGGAGGATACGGGGAAAAGATCCTAGAAGATTTTGATTTCACCGATGACTTGTATCGAATGTTATACAAACTCGAAGATGTACAGTCGAAAACTAACAAGTTGACAGAAGAGGCAAGGCAGGGCAGCGAGGTGAGACGGGACTTCAAGTGAATGTGGAGAAGACAGAGAGAAGTGATGAAGATACCCAACCACCACCACCACCACCATCAACAAGCATCAATCACCATCAATGGGAGAAACTTAAAGGAAGTGGCCTCCTTAACCTATCTAGGCAACACTGTTTCAACTGCAGGTGGCACAGGCACAGACGATGACAACAAAGCCAGTCAGGATTGGAAAAGCAACACAGGCGTTCATTGACCTGAAACTAGTGAGATCTTCTGCACTGCACTCAGCATAAAGCGTGAACAACAGCCAGATTTTCAACACTAATTCAGTGAAGTCAAGTCAGTGCTTCTGTGTGATGGTTGAGAGCCTTCGCATGTCACGAAAGGGATTTCGAACAAACTACAGATATTCATCAACAACTCCCTACCCTGGATCGTTACTGAAGATCAGATGACGAGAATAATGAGAATAAGGAAGAAGGAACTCTGGCTGGCTGGCTGGCTGGCTGGCTGGCTGGCTGGCTGGCTGGCTGGCTGGCTGGCTGGCTGGCTGGCTGGCTGGCTGGCTGGCTGGCTGGCTGGCTGGCTGGCTGGCTGGCTGGCTGGCTGGCTGGCTGGCTGGCTGGCTGGCTGGCTGGCTGGCTGGCTGGCTGGCTGGCTGGCTGGCTGGCTGGCTGGCTGGCTGGCTGGCTGGCTGGCTGGTAACGAACGAACGAAGCAAGAAGCTATCGCTGAACAAATATAGACTGGAAGGAATTGGAGATGGACTGTATTGGACATACACTGAGAAGGTCGACTGGGGACTTCACGTGGCAGGGCAGGCCGTGTAGTGGATCTCCGATGGGAAGTGTCGAGTTGAGCGTCACAGATGAAGTTGACATGGAGATGGTATGTGATGAAAAAATGAAAGGTTGTGGGCAGTCAAGGAGCCAGGTTCAAAAGATTTTAGAGAACGGAACGCATTGAAGACTTGCTACTGAATCCCTATGTTCCATTAGGAACCCAAGGAATAAATAATGATAATAATAATGTGAACACGATTAGAAGCATACATCTTGTTCACTGTGTGATACAATGATAATTTCATATCAGATTTGAAGGTTTATACATACAGAACTTCACTTCAGTGTCTAGTTGTATTTACCCACTTGAAAAAAATACAAGGCATCATAATATATATGATTCCAGTGAAACTGTTAAGTGTTTATTGCTTAATTTGCTTTTGCTTTTTCTGTTTTCTCCTTTGATAATTTATCTATCTGTTTGTGTACTTTGAAGAGAAAAAAAAAGGTTTTCCAATCACATGCATCCAACACAGAGAGGCATATTCAGAACCTTGACTTATAAAATACACCAGGTTTTTTTTTAATTTAGTTTATTCTACCTTTTCAATATCAATCTCTTTTTTTGTATAGGGTTGGTAGTGATGATTCATTGATGAATAGACGAAAAATCTATATTTTAGGGGAATAAAATTTTGTACCGTTTTTATAATCTAAAGCAGACAGATGAAAAGTTTCTGTTATCTTTTGGTCATGTTTTCGCTTCCCTCCCCATCACTCCTCTGTATGTGTGTGTGTGTGTATTTCAATGAGACTCTAAATATTCAGTCGCCTTTTCATCGATATGCTATAAACTTTATTTTGCGTTGTTCATCGGGTCATTTCATTCATGATAGACGGAAGAGAGTAGGCAAATCAACAACATCAAAGTTGGTCTGCAGTTGTATCCCTTCGTAGACTAGACGACAAAAAAATTGTACGTGTTTGGTCTCTCTCTCTCTCTCTCTCTCTCTCTTGGTGTTTCTCACTCACACACATATACACTTGACGGTACCCTTAGTGCTGTGTGTGTGTGTGTATTAACACGAAGTTCATACTTATTGTGTTAAATACGTGAGTCATAGTGAATGATATTTCTGATTTAGAAAAAGAAATACTGAGAGACAGGCAAGATGGATACGCTTAGTGTGTTCTGTGGAAAACAAAAACGAGACTAGTGAGTACTTTAGGCATTGATCCTTCTATTATCATAACAGTATTCATTTTATAGCTGTATGGAGGAGATAGTCAGGAGGCTATAGACTTAATTTTCGCACTTTTTAACATTCGTCAGCAAAGTGTGTCTGAAACCTTGATGGGACTGATGCCCCACCTGAGATTCGAAGCTGCATCACACAGTACTATGGTCAGAGACGTTACCACTGAACTATTCCGGCGATGATTGACTTCCTGTAGGACTGGATTTTGTACATTCATTGGTCACTTCATGTTGTTTAGGTTCATGGCTCCCTGTCGATCACCTTCATCTAACCAACATCTATCAGAGTGCATCGCGATGGTGATTCACCTACCTTGGTGGCCACATTGGAATTATAATTCAGTCAGCACCTAGGACTAAGCAATATAAAGTTGTGATACTGGATGATGATTGAAGGTGAAATAAAAACTTGAACCGTGGGCGGATTCGAACCAGCGACAATCGGATTTCCGACCCGGTGCATCATCATCAATATCAACATAGGACCAGGCATTACTGCGTTGCATAACGGTCCTAGTTGCCACACCTCATATCAGTACATCAAGTAAAAAAGCAGTGAAGTGCAAGATGAGGATAATGTGTGATTAGGTCAATTTCTATGTAGTTGGATGACAAGAGAGAGACCTCCATAAGAACATCTATGGTAAAATTGAACAAGAATGGAAAGGGTGGGGACCCTTGACGGATACTACTCAACGAGCACAGCTACGCGGACATCTCACCACGCCCACAAGTGTTCGAGTAGAGATTCTTCAATGACGTGATGTACTTACTCGGCACGTCTTTAAGTGAGAGACATTGCCATAAGACTTCTCGATCAACGGAGGTCCATAAATACAGCTATTGTCGGGCGTCGGTAAGCGTGCCTGTGTTCCAGAAGCTGGAGCAGTGTGAATATTTGGTTGACACACCCGCAGCTGGGTCCAAAGCCTGGCCTGGTTTTCTCGGGCTTGTTATCCCCGAGCTCCACTTAGGCGTCGGAGAATTATAGAACCTAGGATCTTGGACACTATGTTCGTCAGGCTGATTCCTCTGTAGTTATCACAAGAGGACTTCTCGCCCTTCTTAAAGATTAGAATAATCAGTGATTTAGACCAATCAGAGGGGATTGTATTTGATTCCCATATACTGGTTAAAACTTCCGTTAACCTGACTAAGAGCACCTTACCACTATCTTTATATACCTCAGAAGTTAGTCTGTCTGGTCCTGTTGCCCTTCTTCGTTTTAGGTTACCTACCGCTTTCTCGACTTCTGCTAGTGTTGGCCTGGTGCTCTACCAACTGATCTACGAGGTCCGACTCCTGACCAGATTTTTTTTTCTCACTTCAATCATTATCCAGTATCAATACTAGTCTATCAAACCATGAGTATATCAGATAGTCAAAATGATAATCAATATGATGCTTCCTCTCTCATTCTAACTCAGTAAGATTTCGATTGGGATGAGAACTACTGACTAGGCAGCCAGTGTTAATACGATCAAGAGGTAGTAACACAACACGAATTCACATGTTAGTCGTCGGTCAAAACCTACCTTAATGAAATAAAAATCTGTTCAGCAGTAGTTGAATTTCGTAGCTCACTTGGTAAAGCCATGGGGCTGGAAACCCAATGGTCGCTGGTTCGAACCCCGCTGTGTTCCAAATGTTCATTTCATCTTCAATCATCAAGCTAGTCTGCTAAACTACAACTATCTCAGACAGTCAAAATGATAACATAAAGTTAGTTACACCACCCTCTAGTGATCAAACAATGTATCATTTCATAGCCCCTCTCTCTCTCTCTCTTATCATTTGTTGTATATATACGTTATGTAAGTCACAAGTCCTTTACACCTATATACTAAGATGAACTGTCTCATGATATTCTTCTGGTAAATTAATTGATAAAAACCACACAACTGCTAAAATGAAGATCATTAGATCATTGTTTCTTATATAGAGAGCAGTAATTGAAGTGTTCCTTCCATAGCTTAAATAAATCACTTTTTCATTTGATAATCTGTATGATTGGATTTTTATTGTTTTTTTTCTTCTTTTTTTATTATTTATTCTTCTTCCTTTTTAGAAATTATCACAGAAAGTTTAACACCAATTGCTGAACCAGTCTATGATAATTTAGCAGTGTATATAACATGGAAATTATACACAAAACCGGAATCGTCGACAACTAATGAAAATACTGGACAAATCGCTTATCGTGTAGAATATTCAATGCAGATTAGTCCAACAGAAAGACAATATATTCATTCAAATATCAATCATAATCTAGAAGAAAATAATGATAATATGAATACTAGAAACACTAGTAATAATATGGATAACAATAATACACCATCAGATTTATCTGATCTGCCAGCTTTAATTGGTTTACTTGGTCATGAAGCTATACGTTGGAGTGATCCAACTGCACTTAATCAACAAGTATATGCTATTGTTGTTTTTTTTTCGTCTCTATTTGTTTTTCTTAAAACTACTGATATGTGGGTGGGGGTGCTGCTGATTGTAGGTGAAGCGAAAACCTGGGTTGGAGCAGGATTGGAGCCAACAGCCCTAAGGTTACCCACTTGATAGTCTACCAACTTCGGTATGGAGATCAAATTGTGAACCACTTCACTTCAGTTACCAGGATGGTTTTAGAAGTAGTAGTATTCATCATGGACTGACATCAGTTGGGGAACCATTGAGAATCTGGGAGCATTGGACACCTGTTTCGTCCTAGTATGGGACTCCTGAGCAGTACGCACCCACGGCCCGGCTAGGAATGGAACTCACGACCTTCAGGTTTCACGGCGAACACGTCAACTATTCAGCCACTAGGTCGGTTTCCAGTGATTCACAATTGCCAACTTCTGTCAGCTCACGACATAGCTCGACTGTCACCCAAGGTCTTCAGTTAGCTTCCACTTCACTTCCGACTGGTTTGGTTGACACCACAGGTCACGGCTTCTCATTACACCTTCCTGATATGCATCTGGAAGCAAGTCACTAATGAGGACTATACGGTAATGTATTTTTGAGATGAATAGGGATTTTGTTTAATTTTGAAGTAGTATTCTTGATGGAGTGACGTCAGTTGGGGGGGAAGAATTGAAAATCTGGGAGCACTGGACAACTGTTTCGTCCTAGTATGGGACTCCTTAGCAGTATGCACCCAGGAAACAGCTGTCCAGTGCTCCCAGACTTTCAATGGTTCCCCAACTGATGTCAGTCCATGATGAATACTACTTCTAAATTAAAAAAAATCCCCATTCATCTCAAAAATACATTACTGTATACTGCTCAAGGTGGTTTCATCTGCATTGGTCTGTCAATCCATTATCATCCCTAGGCAATAATTCAATCGATAATATGAATTTATTGTACGTATACATAACTGCTAGATTTCATGGTTAGTAAATTCGTTGTATTTATGCCTGAATTGATGAATAAGAATTTATGATTATTTGTTTCACTTTTACTAGTTTTCTTCACCGTATGCTTATGCAACTGGTGATCCATTAGAACCGGGTAGACGTTATCGTTTTCGTGTTATACCAGTGGATCCTTCAACTGGACTTCATTTAGCTCCACCATCAGGTTGGTCGAATATTGTAAGTATGGAGCATATTAGTCAAGTTGAACCACCACAAATAAAAGTTGTTCGACCTATGGTAAGTTTGCTGATTACCTATCCTATCTTTCTTGGTTATTATTCTTATAACCATTGTTAATTATTGATATACTTCTGGTTCTCCGTTGTTTTATTGGATCGAATTGTTCGACCTCTATTCGCACATGGGCTCCTATGCGGATGCCTCAATATTGCCTGAATATTTCTTATGATAATTTACCTGGTTTTGGCTAGCAGAAGAATCCAGGATGTACGTTTCGTTCTATTTTTGACTCGTCGGCTGGATATACCTGCACCCCAGTGCAGAGTAATGTTGTTCCCGCTGAGACTCGAACTTCGTACCCATGGCTTCAAACGTCAAGACGTTATCCACTATGCCTTCGTGGCATAGTGCACCATTGAGTTTCAACTCGACTCCTGAAGGCTGTTTGAACAGTGCTTCACCTATCGAGGTTTGAGTAGCCAGGTGGGATTATCGCTAACCCTCACACCAGTAGATGTGTAACTCATTACCTGTTGCATGGATGTGCACAAAGTTGTGGAGTGGATTTCAACTTCCTCTTGTATTTATACTGGGTGATGATTGAAGGTGAGATGAAAATTTGGACCGCGGTCGGATTCGAACCAGCGACAGCCAGGTTTCCTACCCGATGCTCTACCAACTGAGCTACTAGGTCGGACTGCTGATCAGATTTTTATTTCACTTCAATCATTAAGGTGGGTTTTGTCCGACGACTACCGTGTAAATTCGTGACGCGTTGCTACCGCTTGGTCGTATTCTCACTGGCTGGCCACCAGTCAGTACTTCTCACCCCGATCCAAATGTAACTACAGTAGAATGAAAGGCGGCATGATATTGATTATCATCTGAGATAGCCATAGTTTCGCAGACTAGTATTTATGTTGGGTGATGAATAAAGGTGGGATGAAAATTTTTGAACTGCGGCCGGACTCGAACCGGCGACCACTGGGTTTTCAACCCGACTATCTACCAACTGAGCTACAAGGTCTTGCGTTTTCGATCTCGTTTAGGATAGTCAGTTTTCACAGCCAATAACTTTTAAGTCCAAGACGGAACGATTATCCATTACTGTCTTGATTTATAGATTCTGTAGTTGATAAAGTTGTTTTTGAATTGACCTGTCAAACTGCTACTTTCCTAAAGTCTCTCTTTCTCTCTATTTGCTATTCACTGTCTTGACAACTAATCTACAAGATGCAGACATCGTACTGCCCTCTTGCTGTGAATATACTTTCATTTTAATCTCCAGCTTTGGTTAATTTATCTGAAAATTAATTTTGTGACTTACTTTGACCTATTTTTTTTTTACCTAGTGAAAGGTTATAAAGTGACCTTTGTTTCACTATGATTACTACTACTAAACAGAAAACAATTGAGTAACATTATGATTACGTGCTTGCTGGTGGATATTGTTTTTTTTTTTTCTAATTTACAAGGTTGCAAACAAAAATAGGTCAACAACTACAAAAAAGAAACGCAACATACACACACACACACACAAAGGTGATCTAGAAGTCATTATTCTTCACTGTGTTCAAAATAGAAGAAAATTGTATTGCTAGCCCCTATATCTATCCATCATTACGATAGAAGACATAGTTGTTTCATGCACATAAAACTCATCATTATGTGAATGCTATGATGTGAAGTAAATGATAATTTGCTTAGTTGTATCTAGCAGAGGAAGAATTCAAGACGCGCGTTTCGTCCTATAAGGGACTCATCAGTCAGCTGGATGTACCTACACCCTAGTGCTTCAGGCCATATCGAGGCATCCGTATAGAGGAGTCCATATACCAGTAGACGTAGAACAATTTAATCTAGTAAAACAACAGAGAATTACAAGTATATCAACAATTCGTAATAACTAATACCTGTTGTACAAGAGGTGGTTATCATGCCTCATTGGCTTAGTGATAAACGCTTTGGCGTTAGAAGCGATGAATACGAGATTCTGGTCTCAGTGGGAACAATATTACTCTTCACTTGGGTGCGAGTACATCCAGCTGACTGGTGAGTCCGAAATAGGATTCCTGTGCTAGCCACAGCTAAGTAAAATGCATCACGAACGGACATATTCACATAGTATTTCTATTTTCTTTTCTCTCTTCTGAAATATAATTTGCATTTGGTGACTCATTGGAATTCAGCTGGATGTACTTATACAGCCCAGTGACTGATTTTGTTCCCACTGGGACTCGAACACTGTACCCATCTCTTCAAACGCAGAAGCATTCATATTAGGGCATAAATTTGATTACTTAGATAGAATGAGGATATAATTTGTAGAAAAACCTTGTATAACTTTCTTGGTGTAATTTTACATATTTCCTCGGATAAGTTGGGATGACAGAGCTGTTGTGTTTATCTTGGAGCTCCCTGATTGATATTCAGCCTTTTGAAACTTAATCTTACTAAAAATCCAAAGTCTTGAGTTGTTGTTATTCACAGTGATTTTCAATTGTTTCATTGTCTCCACCGTGAGATGATGGAGAGTATTTACTGTTCCATGAGGATGATTTTGATTGTCTTGTGTTCTCTGAGCAGGAAGGCTTAATCGTGAAGTATTCATTGCCATTCTAGACATTCTCACTACACCTTCATACTTTCTTCAAGTTTCATCCTTCCAGAATAGACAGGAAGAAGCATTTAACCTTGAGATAAAATGTAAACGTTTGTGTTGGAAACATTAGACAATACAGATAAGTCGATTGATGAGGTTGTGGAACCTTAATCAACTGAAATGGCTTAGATATGTACTCCGCATGCCGAGTCCCCACCTCCCTCGGTCTGCCATGCTAGGAGAAGTCAGATTAGGTTGGAAGAGGATTAAAGGTAGGCAGACGAAGATGCAGCACTTATCGATGAAGTCCCTGACTGTTTTTCTGCGCTGGTTAAAGGGATTTACACTGTCTGTTTGGATTCTCTGAAATGAAAGAAACCTGTGGTTGACGACTCTTGTATTGACATGGATGAAGATCGGTCACAATGGTGCAGATATATTCACTCCTTGACATCTTCTAAACTTTGAATATTTCCACTAACCTGTATCTTCAGCTTATTTATTCTCTCACACAATTTTATCTACTTTGATACCACTCTTTTTCTTTTTTTCTGGTGTTTATGTACTGCTGTGAAATATGACAACTTGAACCGATTCACCAGGGTGTGAGGTTCTTTGTTGATATTGTCAGTTAGTCATTCCGTCCGTCAAAGATTATATACTGATTATGTGATGTTTTCGAACGCTAATACTTATATATATTCTGAATAGAATATATAGTCACGCTTAGCTGACAGCTGACTTGGTACGCAACCCCGGGATGCATAGAGAGAAGACCGAAGCTGGCAGATGGGAGAGTTTATTGCTCCGAGAGTATAATATGATATATAATCAAGCCCAAAACACGTGAATAAGTACACACATGAAAAATGACTTAGTCCTCAATTTGAGGCACAGGCGTAGTAAGGGTGAGATTAACCAATCAGTGATTTACATAACATTGGGGCAGGAAACAGACTACTAGTCATGGTGTGGGAATGACAACGTTAAAATGTTCAGATCAATAACAATGGTGTATACAAAACTGGGGCATCACAACAGATTATGACTATATTAATGATGGATCGTGGCTAGCAGCAGAATCCAGGATGTGCATTTCATCCTGTTTGTGACTCACTGGTCAGCTGGATGTATCTGCTTCCCAGTAAGTGATGTTGTTCCCATGGGGATTCGGACTCGGGAGCAACCGCTTCAAACGTCAGCGCGTTATCCACTATATGATATGGCTATTGCGGCTCGGTAGTGTAGTCGATAACGCGCTGACGTTTGAAGCGGTTGCTCCAGAGTCCGAATCCCCGTGGGAACAACACTCACTGGGAAGCAGGTACATCCAACTGACCATTGAGTCGCAAACAGGATGAAATGAGCATCGTGGATTCCACTGCTAACCACGATCCATCATTAACATAATTAGATTACTGACAATATCGAGGCATCTGCATAGGATCCTATATGCCAGTAGAGACTGATCACTTCCGTCCAATCAACGACGGTATGCTATAAAAACAATTATACTAGGTTATGATTATGTTGTTATGCCTAATGATGGAAGCATAATAAAAAAAGAAGGTCATACCCAGATAATGCTTATGGTCTGTTTCTGCATTTACCAAATAGCTACTATTGTTCTTACCGTTGTTTTTGAGTGATTCTATCCTACTTCATATATTTATTTACTGTGTTATTTATTTTCATTCAATACTTAGTCTGAAGGTCAAGTTCACGTTGTATGGATGTTTAATGGTATAGGCGGTCATCCAAATCCTAATGATTTAAATATATTATCAAGATCAAGTTCTTCACAGAAAGACTTATCAATTCAACATCTATCATCAACTAGTGGTGACGGTGGTAGCACTTCTTCACTATTTTCTAATCATGTTCAAGCTGAACAATTATTTATGCCTGATCATTTTCTTATACTTGCTCGACCTGTCATTAAACCGAAACGTGGTTCTGGTGGTTCTATTGAATATGGAGCTTATTGGGCTACACAAGTGAATGGTTCCAATGCTAGAGTAAGTGATTTTCATGTTATTTATTGTTTATTTTAAAAATAAACATCTTGGCTAATCAGTTTTATTTCACTTGCCCGAAGCTTAATCTTTTCTTCATTGACATCATCATTATACAACCGTTATGACAGAAACACGATTCTACACATGCGTTTAAAGTATTGATTAGCTTGTATATACTTATTATTATTTGTCCCTTGGGTTCCAAGTGGAATATAGGGATTCAGTAGCACGTCTCCATTCCACTCTCTTCTCTGAAATCTTTTCAACCTGGCTCCATGACAACCCATAAGCTTTTATTTTCTTCTTCACACATCATCTCCTCCATGTCACCTTCGCCTTCACCGCCTAACTCATTGTTTCCCTTTAGGATTCCACTCGAGTGCCTGGTGTGTGATGTCCCCGAATGGCCTTCTCAGTGCATACCCAATACAGTCCATCTCCAATTCCTTCCAGTCTATATTTGTTCAGAGATAGCTTCTTGCTTCGTTCGTTCGTTACCAGCCAGTCAGCTAGAGTTCCTTCTTGCTTATTCTCATTATTATCGCCATCTGATCTTCAGTAACGAGTCAGCGTAGGCAATTGTTTATGAATGTCTGTAGTTTGTTGGAAATGCCTTTCGTAATGCTCCAAGTCTCTCAACCATCACATAGAAGCACTGACTTGACTTGACTGAATTAGTGTTGAAAATCCGGATGTTGTTGATGCTTTATGCTGAGTGGAGTGCAGTGCAGAAGATCTCCACACTGGTTTAAGATTGATGAAGGAAGGTCTGTCTTGCTGTCTTTCCGATCCTGGCTGGCTTTGACGTCCTCATCTGTGCCTGTATTGCGTGTAGTTGAGAGTATGCTGCGTAAGTTTGGAGGTGACGGAGACAACTTCTTTGAGACTTCCACTGTTGACGGTGGTTGGTGTTCGTTGTTATTGGTTGGGTATCTTCATCACCTCTGTCTTCTCTACGTTCGTTCACGTGAAGGAAATCCTGTCTTCGCTGCCTTGCCTCTTCTGCCTATTTGTTGGTTTTCACCTGTACATCTTTGAGTTTGTGTGACATGACATTAGACATGAAGCATCATGTGTGAAATCCAAATGTTTTAGGCTATTTTCATCGATGAAACAACCAGCGTATGTCCATCTTCTCACAGCTCCTCACAGTTGTTTCTTACGTGATCCAGTCGAACACAATCAAGAAGATCATGGGTGATAGTATACAGCCTTGTTGTAGTCCTGTCTTCACTTCAAAGGCATCACTGAGCTTTCTATTGTGAATCACTCGGCATGTATCATCATCATCATCATCATCATCATCATCATCATATAGCTGGTGTTGAATGAGGTTGATGAAGGTTTGTGGCACCATAACCGTAATATTGAATAAGTTTCAGAATCTTATGGTCCACATTTTCCTACTTCTGTTAGTTTTTGAATTATTTATTTATTTAATAATGAATCTTTCATTTCTCATTAACTTTTTTAGGATGGACTGCTAACAGGTTTGAATAATACAGCAAACTATCAAATTATTGTCTACGGTGTCAAAGGGATTGGAGATAATCGACAGATTACACGTTTCTCTAAAGCTGTTTATGTCAATATGGCTGTGAGTTATTTTCTATTTCTTTATCAGTAACTATGCTATCGGTCAAAAGCAATTATTTTTAATTTTCTCTTGCTACATCGTTTTTCCAGGATTAATTTCTATGAGGTAGTATAGTGTAAAAAAAAGTACATTTCACGAATGTTCCTCAAAAGTATTACAACTATTTGGATCCATTGGTAGAAATTACAAATAGGCTCTGTCCGAGATATCTGTCAGTCTTGTACTTATCGACATTCTTCAGTAGAGTCTATCTGTCCTGCTGTTCTGCAGTTACCAACGTTGCAGGATCATAGCTGCCACCTTGATGTGGTGATTGGCCTTACATATCACAATGACCCAGCGAGTTATACTGGTAGAACACTTGTTCCCTCCAGGTTCCACCATACCAGAAAGGTCTGGTGGGTAATGGTTAGACAAAAAACAGTTACTGTTGTGGTGTAAATCACTACACTATGATGGGATCTGAGGGCAAGTCGTACTGCTGCTAGCTGAATGGGGTGTAACAGCAGTAAGTTGTTTCCCTTGGATGACCATCAGTGTCATGCTGATGCTGCCTTCTCAGTGGAAATAGGGGATCAGAAAAGGTCAGCCGTAAAAATAACACTCCACCATACCTCACGATCTGCCGGGCCGGCAGTGTTGGTTCATTTGTCGGCCCTAAAACAACGAAAGTTCAAAACAACCATACATCCAAGGCTGGGTATGACAGGTCTCAAGCAGATATCCGACGGTTTCAATGGTTACACAAATCTCTTTCAGTTATCTGGATAACTGCCTTGCTATATTCACGATTTTCTCGATAAATGGTACCTAAATGTTACCATAGTTTGAAATAACACTGAAAGTTCATTTCATTTAATCGAAAACAAAATTTTTTGACTCAAATACTACCCATGCGTAAAATTTTATTCTTGGTGAATAATTTTTTGTATAATTTACAATCATAATCATTGTTACAGCGATATCAAAAAGGGTGTGTAAAGTCACACAATGGTGATAATACTTATAAGGTCAACTGAAGGTCATCGAAAATTACTTTAAGGATTACAATATAAATGAATAAACTATCCTATGAAGATTACAACCTATACAAAATTTGAGAGCGCAAAAATCAAGATTGTACTACTCGATTGCGAAAGTCTTTACTACATTGAGATGGTGAATATATACTGTCTTTGGAGTGAGAAGCATAGTCACTAGAGTTAACTAAATATTCAAGAATTGTACCTTTTTGTTGACGTTTTACACACTGTCTTTTAGACAGCTATACAGGATAGTGTTTGTAGATGCATTTGGATATAACACACTTTTTACAGCCTATATAACCAATTCCACTTTCAACATTGCCATTGAAAGTGGAGGATACAAAAAGGCTTCAGGTGTTTGACCACCGTTGCCTTCCTAGTAAGTATAGGACGTATTCCGTGGTTTCACCATGTGAATAATGCAGAAGTTAGGTGTAGAGTTTTGGGGAGAAGAGGTAAGTCAGTTGACGAGGTTGTGGACCTTCATCGACTGAGATGGTTGGGACACGTACTACGTATGCCTAGTTACCGATTGCCTCGTCATACAATGTTGGCTGAGGTGGGTCCAGGCTGGAAACAGGCCCGAGGTGGCCAGACTAAAACATGGCATCAATGTATGAAGTCTCTGACTGTTGGTTTAAGCCATGTGGGAGCGATGCAGACTGGGTGGTTGGGGTCTGTGGGACAAGAGGAACCAGTGTTGGTTGGAGACTGACTCTAGGTGATATGGGTGAGAACCGATGTGAGTGGAGCAGATGTATCCCCACACACATTATCCTCATCTTAACGACGCTATACCGAATCTCACCATTTTGTCACTCCTCTTTCCTTTCTTCTACTTTTATATTTCTTCTGACTGCATTCACTTATCTTCATCCTTCGTCTCACTACCTTTTTACTTGATGTGCTGATATGAGGTGTGGCAACTCGGACTGTTACGCAGTAATGCCTGGTCCTATATTGATAATGATTCCATAAGAGTAGGTGAATTGGTAAATACACATTAATGTATATTTTTTTGTAATTATGATTACGATTGTACATCTTTTGAAATGAATTCAGGTTGATTTATAAATGAACTTGAAAGATAATTACTAACTAATCATTATCTCTTGGAGAACTCACACATACTATTGTTATCTAAGAAAAGTATATTTTGATACAGGGTTTATTGTATGAACAATAAACTAACTATACTGTATCCAATCTATTCATCTTATTTTGAACTCATCAGCTCAATGTATTTGCACCTTAATGAGTGATGTTATTCTCACTGAGGATCAAACCCAATACCTTTTGCTTCAAACACCAGAACGTTATCCACTGAGACACGGTAGCCCACAGTTTTTGAAATCATACTTATATTTTCTTGTTGATATACAAGGCCAAACTGGTTGACCTCTGCTGTTGACAGATGGGCTGCTATGCGGATGTCTCGATACTGTTAAATATTTACAATGTTATATTATTAAACAAGTATTATAAAAACAATTGATACCTGTTACATAAGAGGTAGCTATCGTGCCCTAGTGGCTTAGTGGATGATATTGTAGTGTTTGAAGCGATAGGTCCTGAGTTAGAGCCTCGGTGGGAACAACACCATTTACTGTGGAGTGTAGGTGATACATCCAACTGAGGAGTCCCGAATAGGACAAAACGCTCGTCATGTGTTAGCTATATGGTAGACCTAATGCACTTTTGAGGCTCTACGACATCATTTAGTTGTCTGTGTATTGCTGTTTGTCACTGTGTTACACCCCATGAGTACATGTTTTCAAATGAATAAACCAGCGTTCCATCATCAACAAAATATTTTAATTGATGAATCGTTTTTACTATTGTGTATTAAATGGATCCTATGCATCTGTTGACTAATTTCTTTTCTCTGTTTTTTTTTTCTTTCTCTCGTTTTACATATCCATGATGAAGTCTACTGATTATACTGGTCGTTATAGCCTATTGGATACGTTGAATAATAATCGTTTACTATATATTATATTGGGTGGTATAGCTGGTGTCATGTTTCTAGTCATGTTTATACTTATTCTTTTATGTTTATGTCGTCAGCATCAAGATCGTCGTACGCATAGTCAACGTAAAAAACAAAGTAAGCGTAAATTGGTTTTACACTTTTCATTGGTTTGCTTATTCTTATCTAATAATGTTTATCACTATTATATTGGATTTTTTACAGAGGGGAGGGGGGGGGGGTTCGGAGATATAATTACACTTAGTTAGACGTGCATACCTGCTATGTCTTTATTCTTAGTTATCTGGAAACATTTCTAATGAAGAATACTGTCCGAAATTCATGTAGGAAAGATGTTTTCAAATGTCTCAAATTTATAAACTCTTCATACAGTTTACAGAACAGAGTATAGAATGGCAGTCAACCGTCTACCTCAACTTCATCGACTTTGAAAAGGCCTTCAACAGTGTCGACCGAGAGTTAATTTGACACTTAGTTCAACACTACGGTTTTAGTACCACAAACCTTTATCAATCTCATTCAATAACTATATGAAGAGGCCACATCAACGTAGAACCTCGCACATAAGTGCATCAGTTCAAGTTGCCATACTTCCCAGTAGTATACAAAGAAATGGTGGTTCGAATAAGAATGATATCAAAGTAGATGAGGTTATATGAGACAATTTGAAGATAAATGTTAGTACGAATATCCAAGCTTTGGAAGACATCAAAGAGTGTTTTCATCTGTGCTGTTGTGACCGATAACAGTCATGTCATCAAGAGTCCACAACTACTAGTTCCTATCATCTAACACACGCCGACTAGACACTCGACATCTCCCCGACACAATTCCAACCAATAGTCAGGGACTTCATGTTCGAAGTAGGCGGTTGGTCGGCATGATTAAACTTGCCCAACCCACCTCAGAGGATAAAGGTTCATAATCTCATCAATTGACTTGCCTATCTTGTCTAGTATTCTTCATACAGATGTCACTTCTGTATGATAGCACAGAATAAACTACAGATCAGAATGAGTTCATCGAAAAGAGGAAATTTTGTTCTAGACAATCATCTTTGCTCTTTACCCCTTGAATTTCCAAGTGTTATTATCTTTGTAATATCTCCGTCTTCTTCTTTATTTGTCCAATGACTCTTGACTGTAAATCTTCAAGACGTTCAATTTCACCTGTCTTTTGTTTTGCTTATCCTTTTCTAATAATTCTGTTTTAATATTAAGTGATGTTTGAAGGTGAGAAGAAAACTTGGGCCGCGGCCGGATTCGAACCAGCGGCCACTAGGTTTCTGCCCGATGCTCTACCAACTGAGCTACAAGGTCCAGAAACCCCTATGATTTCTGGTTCGAATCCGGCCGTGGTTGAAATTTTTATTTCACCTTCAATCATCATGAAGTATCAATACTATTATCCTGCCAAACCACGGCTATTTCAGAATAGTCAAACTGATAATTGTATTCTTGAATTGGGGTGTGTTTGTGGGAATTTAGAGATTTTTTTCAAGTTGGTATTCATCATGGACTGATATCAGCTGGAGGAACATTGGGAACGTCGGAGCACTGAATACCAACTTGATAAAATCTCTTTGGTGACTAGCTTCGAGAAGCGATTCTTGGAATTCCAATGAGAAGTCGTGACCAGTGGGGCGAATCTCCTGGTTGTGAGGACAAATACTCAACAATGATGTTGGCTGATGGGTCCGTGCTATGTCGTGAAATGACTGAAGTCAGAAATATAGACCACTGGATTCAGACCCAGTAGCTGAATAGTAACGTGCTGGCCATGAAACCTGAAGGTCGTGGGTCATCATCATCATCAATACCAACATTGGATGGTCCGAGTTGCCACGGCTCAGTACAGTACATCAAGTAGAAAGGTAGTGAAGTGAAAGATGAAGATAACAGAATGCAGTCAAAAGAAAAATAAAGTATAAGAAGAAAGAAAGGAAGAATGAGACAATGGCGAGGTTCGGTATAGCGTCGTTAACATGAGGATAATGTGTGTGGGGATACCTCTGCGCCACTGACATCGGTTCTCACCCATATCACCTAGAGTCAGTCTCCAACCACCACTGGTTTCCTCTTGTCCCACCGACCCCAACCACCTAGTTTGCATCGCCCCGCCCCCATCCTACATGGCTGAAAACCAACAGTCAGAGACTTCATACATTGATGCCATGTTTTAGTCTGTCCATGTCGGGCCTGTTTCCAGCCTGGACCTACTTCGACCAACATTGTGTGACGAGGCAATCGGCGACCAGGCATACGTAGTACGTGTCCCAACCAGTTAATTTTTTTTAGGATGCCAAATATAGTGAAGATTGTGTTTATCTAAACTTATTTACTTTTTATTATATAATCGGCTACTTTTTTCCTTATTTCTTGTAGATGGTTATGTACACGGTTATAAAGATTCTCCTGATTTTCATACTACGGATGGAGTAACTAGCGGTGTAAATAATCCTCAACTATCGCATACTTTAGTTTCTACCAATCATCATAATAATATGAATACAAATAATCCTAGTATACAGCCTAATCCTGGTAATACAACTATGACAAATAACAGTACTGCAGGTAATGTTACATCTTCCAATAATACAAATGATCAAGGTATGCCAACAACAATGATGATGATGGGTAATTTACAGTGTAGTGGTCTATCAGAGCATTCAATGTCTAATAATCCAGTACAAAGTGAATTACAACATCAAATGTATATGCAACAACAATCAGATCAATATGCTACTGCTTTAGGTATGTCTAAAGAAATGTTTCAACAACGTCAAGCTATATTAGGCTCACAGATGCAATTACAACAACAGCAGCAGCAACAACAACAACAACAACAACATGGTCAGTCGTATATGACTAACCATCCACCACATCATCAATCACATCATTCTCTACTCTTACCATCTGTTGGTAATTCAAATCAAATGTTATCTGGGCATAATATACTTCCACCGACAATGTTTCATAGTGGTACATTACCAGGTGGACCACGTTATTTACGACAACAACAATCATGTGGTTCACATTATTTTGGTAGTCGACAACCATTAGATAGAAATATGATTAGTCCATCGAATGCTATGGAAATGACTGAACTTTATCATCATCATCACCAACAACAACAACAAAATGGATATGCTTATCAACAGCCACAGCTCCCACCGATTCCGGTAAGTTGTTTGTTATTCATTCATGATGTGGATGATGTGGATATTGGCTGAAGATGCACGTTTCGTCTCTTTGAGGATTTTTCGGGCTGAATTTGTCTGCCTCTCCAGTGGGTAGATATTCATACAGACTTTAATTTGGGATATTTATTTGACTTGAAAAAACTGGTGTCAGAAAGTGGTGATCCCTTATTATTGATCTTAAGCAGCTAGATTGTATAGATGCCTGTCGGAAAGACTCTTCCACCTTCATCTTCCTCCTGTTAGGACATATTTATCTGATGGTATGGAAAAGACTATTCCAACTCTACCTTCTTCTGTATACCAGTTGTTAAACGGATGTCTACATCACATTTATGATTGTTTCAACAACTATAATACCGAAGAGTTTACTGATCAGAATTCATTTCCTATCATTTTGCTAACGATGATGATGATAATAATATACAGAAATATGGTGCCGAAATATAAACGAAATGAACATTTATGCAGTAGGCAAGGAGCAATACCCAATGTTGTGAAGGCCTAGTGATACTACCCGAGTGCTGAAACTTTGGTAGATGAGGCAAGGTTCGAACCCATGACCTATTGATTGGAAGTTATCTCCATAAAACCAGTAACTCACATCTCTATAAATGACTATTTGTTTACAATACGATCTATAAGGATGTTAATTCCTTCATAATTGTGAAGCTTCACGATTAAACAACCTAGTTCAGAGAATACGATACAACTAAGCTTCCTTTCATCTGTTTGTAGAATTTGCTATTGAATTGAAAATACATTATAAGCTATGAATCCATCAACATTGAACACTGTGGTTATGTGTGTTCCGAGAGATGTGTATCATCATTGACAAGGAGAAGAGTCATTGTACCCTTAGCCAACAAACGGATTATTGTATCTTATATGAAGAACTTCTTCTAGATCACGACTAGATTATTAAAGCCTTTTGAAATCATTGTAGCTCACAAGCTGATAAAATCTCTTCACTATCTGTTATATGGGCCGAAAGATGTAATAGCAAAGGAAGACAAACTAGCAGTGACATATCTTCGATTATATCATAGCATATGGACATGAAATTGACTGGAAAATAGTGGAAATCCTGGATAGAGGAAATACAAAGAATACCAAAGAATGTATAGGAAAATGAAATTCCGCTCAGTAAGCAATCAAGAGACATACTGACATTGATCGGACCTATCATTCAATAAGAAAGAACAAAGAGGTCGAAGGTCACGTCCACTAGACAACTGGTAGACAATGACAGAAAAAATCAATCACATACAAGCCCATCTGAACAGGTTACTTAGCCCCACTTGGGGAGAAAACTCCATAACTCACCTTCTTCTGAAGTTTGTGTTGATGTTGTCCACAAAAGTGACAATAAAAACTTTATGATTATACTATTTAACTTAGAAAACAGTACATCATCAAAATCTTTGGCGCGTTACGAAAAGCATTTTCAACAAACTACAGATATTCATCAACAACTACCACCTACGCTCACTCGTTACTGAAGCTCAGATGGCCAGAAAGAATAAGCGACAAGGAACTCTGGCAAGGAATCAACCAAGAACCTATCCTTCAACAAATATGCAGAAGGAAGTGGAGATGGGTTGGGCATGCACTGAGAAGACTATTCCGGGATATCACGCGTCAGGCCGTCGAGTGGAATCCAGAGGGGAAACAGTGAGTTGGGCGTCCCAGCTGTGGGTGACATGGAGGAGATGGTGTGAGGAAGAAATGAGAGCTTGTGGACTGTGGTAGAGCCAGCTTGAAAAAATTTCAGAGAAGAAAGTGGAATGGAGACTTGCTACTGAATCCCTATGTTCCACTTGGAACCCAAGGGACAAATAATAATAATAATCTCACTTACAAGCTGCATCTTTATGTAATTAAATCAAAGTGATCAGATTGTGGTGTAATCACTTTGAAATATCATACTAATGCAAACAAAAGGAAGGAATAAACCTTCATATTAACCAAGCTAAGGGTGAAGGTAAACTATTTTTAGCCATTGGTGATTGATACGTTCTCCTTTAGGTTTGTGAGTCAATTGTAAAGTAAATAAAAAGAGTGCTGAGTAGTTCCATATAATATTTGTTTATTTAACTTATAACACACAATGATATATTATTACAATCATCCATCTCATATTCTCTGTTTTATTGGTAGTAAAATTTTACATATCTCTGATATAGGTGTTGCGTCATTCCAATTACATGTATGTTGGGTGTTGACTGATTCGATGAACAAAACATTCAATAATCAATCCACCTCTGTCTCCCCACCTAATCATATTGTTGAACTTAAGTACAGTGGTTTTATCCATCACCACCACCACCACATTGTGTAGTTGTCTGCTTGTGCATGCATTGCATTCGGGTTTGTCATTGTGTATTTAGCTAAATTCCTATGTTCGATATTCTAACTGAATTCAACCGGCTAGTTTGACCTGACTCACAGGCATTACGTAGAACCTTTTGGATTAGATTATTTCGCTTAATTGATTCTATCGGATCCTTAAGACAGCGACGAAGCTTATCTCTGAGTGAGATTGTAAGTTTAAATGCCATCCTAATTCCAGCTATGTTGAGGATTGTACGTAGTTTCTGATATACCTTCCTTCCTTATAGGGTAATACAATGGAGGCTGTGAACTCCTTGTTTCTCGTAGGAACATACGAGAAACGAAATAATAACAGTAACACGTGTACGACTAATGACGACAACACGAGTAGAAGGGAGTTCACAGCCTCCATTGTGTTACCCGCTCGTTACTGAAGATCAGATTGCCAGAAAGAATAAGCAACAAGGAGCTCTGGGAACGAACCATCCAAGAACCTATCGCTCAACAAATATGCAGAAGGAAGTGGAGATGGATTGGGCATACCCTGAGAATGCCGACTGGGGACATCACGTGCCAGGCCCTTGAGTGGAACCTAAATGGGGAAACGACAAGTTGGGCGTTTGAGGCGAAGGTGAAATGGAGGAGATCGTGCGAGGAGGAAATGAGAGCTTCTGGGCTGTCGTGGCGACAGGTTCAAAAGATTTCAGTGAACAGAGCGCATTGGAGACGTGCTACTGAAGCCTTATGTTCCGGTAGGAACCCAAGGGACAAATAATAATAATAAAAATTGTGTTACCCTATAAGGAAGGAAGGTACATCAGAAACTTTACGTAGGATTCTCAACATAGCTGGAAATAGGTTGGCATTTCAACTTACAATCTCACTCAGAGATAAGCTTTGTCGGTTGGCTTAAGGATCCGATGGAACCAATTAAGCGAAATAATAATCTAATCTATCAGGTTCCATGTAACGACTGCGAGTGAGATCAAGTACATAGGTGAAACCCGAATGCAATGCATGCACAAGCAGACAACTACACAATGTGGTGGTGGTGGTGATGGATAAAACCACTGTACTTAAGTTCAACAATATGATTAGGTGGGGAGATAGAGGTGGATTGATTATTGAATGTTTTGTTCATCGAATCAGTCAACACCCAACATACATGTAATTAGAATGACGCAACACCTATATCAGAGATATGTAAAATTTTACTACCAATAAAATATGAGGTGGATGATTGAAGAATGGAAATCAGATATTGAAAGGTGTATGATTATGGATAAGGATAATTTATAGTCGAGACACGGTATCATCGAGTAAATAATACTGTTGACCACCCACTTTGATTATTGAAGTATCTACATTTTTATGCTACTTTCTTGGTTCATATCATCATCATTATAATCGATATTGCAGGTGCTTTAGTTAACGTTATCACTTTCATCATTATTATTATTGTTTATAACAAGGCATGTAAGCGAACACTATTGTTTTTTCAATTAGATCGCATCAGGTTTCACTCTAATATACGTAACTGTCAACATATTTTTTTAAAATATCAACCAATTTGTGCGACTACGACAACAGCGAATAGGGATTTTAAAAAGTTTAATACGACTGGTCATAATGACACGACAATGTAGTAAGGTATTCATATCGATAGTGTAGGCCGTATCCCGTGGTGTCACCACACCACGTAAGTAATGCAGAAGTCAGGTGTAGAGTTTTAGGGAGTAGAGGAAAATCAGTTGACGAGGTCAGAACCTTCATCGATTGAGATGGCTGGTTGAGACACGTACTACGTATGCCTGGTCACCGATTGCCTCATCACACAATGTTGGTCGAAGTAGGTCCAGACTGGAAACAGGCCCGAGGTGGACAGACTTAAACGTGGCACCAATGTATGAAGTCTGTGACTGATGGTTTGAGCCATGTAGGATGGGGGCGGGGCGATGCAAACTAGGTGGTTGGGGTTGGTGGGACAAGAGGAACCAGTGTTGGTTGGAGACTGACTCTAGGTGATATGGGTGAGAACCGATGTGAGTGGTGCAGATGTATCCCACACACATTATCCTCATGTTAACGACGCTATACCGATTCTCACCATTTTGTCATTCTTCTTTTCTTTCTTCTCATACTTTATATTTCTTTTGACTGCATTCTCTTATTTTCATCTTGCACCTCACTGTCTTTTTATTTAATGTACTGGGGTGTGGTAGGAAGTCGGACCGTTACGCAGTAATGCCTGGTCCTAGGTTGATCTGAATGATGAGTGAATGATGTTCAGATGGATAGACAGACAATATAAGTCAAAGGTTGAAAAACAAAAAAAGGACAGTAAGGCCGAAGATTGAAGGTGATGAATATGAGTATAGTAGTAGTGTGAAAAGGTTGATAAAATGAAATAAAATAAGAAAAAAGAAGTATGTTTTAAAATTCATTAACTTCCCCCTGGCCAAGACTGTACAAATTTCTTCTAGATACAGAACTCTGGATTGTTTATTCGAATTCCTACAGCCTTAGCTATAAGTAAAAGGCTGATTCGAACATCATCGGAAAGGTTCAATAGTATGTAGTAAATCACTTTGAACGCTCTATAATCACTGTCAACTAGATGAGACAAAATAAAGTTTCTTATAGATTTA